AAGGCTCTAATATGCGCCTTTGCAGCAATGAATGCTCGCCTAGCACACACAAATATATATTCCAGGGAGCTGTTCACATCAGCCGGTTGAAGTTGCCAAGATGCCTTTTTAACTAGCATTAAGCTCAACCAGGCAAGTGAAAGACCTGGCGCGGACAGGCAACGCAAAGTCACGGGCGAGCTAACTCAAATATGTAGACTGTGCCGCAGTGGCAGTGGCTGTGCAAGATGCGGCGTCAAATATGCCCTCAAGTGCCGGAGTGTGTTATGTGGCCTTAACATGTTGGTGGCTCTCCTTTTTGAGTGCCTTTGGGAACATCTGCGAAAATCTCTTTGGTAATGGTGCATCATATGAACTCGCCGGTTGAAGAACGGCCACAAGTCACGGTGCAGCAGGGTTGGCTGAGAGGTATGGAGGTAAATTTTTTCAAGGTCACTTCCTAGGGGGGCCTTTAGAGGAGAAAGGGCAGATTAAGTAGTCAATAGAGAGACATGCGCAAATTCGGATGGCCTCCGTAGACCGGTGTAAGAGCTTATGCGCACTAAAGGGGATGAGGATTCGGCAAGACTCAGCGTTGAGCTCGACTAGACTTTCTTTCATCTTCCATGAAAGCTTGCAAGCAGTTGAAGCGCAGAGCAGCCCAACTCAGGCGCTCTAAATGCTTCATAGGTGCGGAACTGTTCTTCCCCAAGCACCGCCAGTCGAACCCCGCAGCAATTCCATGATTAGATGACTTTCCCTGCTCTGATTAGATATTACTACTGTGCGGAAATGTATTTTTACACTACAGCATGCGTTGAATTCTGCGTAAAATGCCGACTACCCTACGCAATTGATTAGAAGCCCGCGGGCTCTCATTCCCCCAACACTCTGTAGCGTTGAATTTCATTGCTCAATTTTCCCGCACTGCCACGTAGAGTTACTTTACACCAGTATTTGCGGACTCTGTCAGCAAGGCGGCTCAGTTCAACTCCAATAAGTGGACAATCACAGTTCTGAATGCTGTTCGCTCCATTGGTACACCCCCTATTCTGTACCACGGTTTCCCTAAAGTGCTCATTTTCGAACGGAACCTTTGATTTTAGTCGGATATATATGAAATTCTCTTCACCGGTTCAGCATCAGGCTTACTATATCGTGTGCCGTAGTGCGATGGACACAACAGACGTGTCTAATGCCAGCCCCAGCAGAGAAGGCGCACTGACACCCAGTTGGACAAGCGACAAAAAGTGTGCTTAGTCCAAGCTCGTAAACTGGCGAACAGTACGACAAGTGACTGTTTTATTGAGCTCTCACCCTATGTTGTGACTGCAGGTTAGGCTACCCCTTACTGCAGGCCATCTTGACACGGCAGGCACTTTGGCTGGTACCACTTACAATTACCCCATCACGAAGCTCTCCCCAGAGGTATGAGACTGACTGTAGAGTACCAATGTGCTAAGTAGCAGCAAAGGGCTTGTAGCCTACGTGATGCTCACGTGGCTTGGCATTGCGTAGGCGATGAGAACAAACAATGGCTCAGCAGGAAGCACTTGCGTACTGTCAATCAATGCCTCATACGCAAATCTCGCTAGGACAATCCGTTCACGGCCACATACCGCACCCCAAAACTGAATCCCTTTCGGCTTTGCGCCTCAACTGTTGTTGCTGAGATATCATTTGACCTGTCCCAACTCGTTCAGAATTATCTATGTGAGGTTCATTGATTTGCCAACACCACGCTCAGTCCAGCTTGTCAGCTCCCTGGACTGAGCGAGTTGAGCAGCCCGAGAGACTAGCATGGGACAGACTGCATCCTGGACCAGCGGGGCAGCAGAGACGATACTTTATATTTTGTGAAATGGTGAGGCGCTCTTGACAAGCTTCTTGAGAAACAGCTCGATATCTAACAGGCCGCCGTGCATTGCTGCAAATTCGGTAGTGCCAAACGCACAGACGCCAAGAGGCCTGCCTCACTCACACTGTCAACCCCCAAGGGTCCCTTTCCCACCTGCCTTTCTTGTTTCCTCATACTCTGCTTGTCACTATGCTCACGGACTCGCCTTCGTTAGTTCCTTGATTTTTTCTTTCTCTCCCTACATTCTACATTTCGTGGCAAACATTAGAAACCCGCTTCCTTTGTCGGGGTTGGTTTCGCGTTCCACTCATGAGACACTTCGTGCAGAGGGAAACTTGATAGCAAGTATTCATATACGTATTACGAAGGAAGCGACAGTACAACTACAGGAACCAAGTAACATAGCCGAAAAATATGCTATGAAGTGCAATTAACAGAGGACCAAAAAGTCCTATTGCTGCTTTTTCTGTTCTTGTTAATTGCTTTGCTCTTCCTAGTTGATGCACTAGAGCATCTAATGGCCTAGTAAGTTTCCCACAGTAACTGTAGTGTGTAGCACTACGATGTTGCACAAATACAACCCCACAAAGTTGCAACATTTATTATGCTAGACGTGAAGCATTATTAGAAAATTCACAGCTAGAGAAACTAGGCTGTTGGCCGAGATTTAACCTAAGGTGTGCGGCTGCAAGGCCAGGGAATGGAGCTAGCTGTGTCACACGTACAGCGTGCGGGGGATGCTCGCATACCGAGGGACAGCGAACTCCTCCGGGAGATTAGAACAGCAGCAGACTTGAATCTTTTACTTTTAAGGGTCGATTTGGGCTTCATTGGCCTTATTCATAGTGCCTATGTAGAGAGACAGGAAACCTGTGAGGCAAGGCCAGGCTCACTACAGTAACAACTCATTCTGCGCGGCCATTCTATGCGGCATCGCTGTTTTTTCTGATCCTCCTAGCATTGAAAGCGTGGAGACAGCCTTTGGCATCAAAATTTGCAGGTATTGTCAGGCGCCTTCCTGCCAACCTCTACCTCGCCCTACCATGCCAGCTAGGGCTTGCACATTGCATTGTGTGTATGTGTAGTGAACAGCGGTCTGCGCTGCTACTATGTGACTTCCTGGCGCACGAATATGGGCCCTTCTGCCAAATTCTCTACATTCGACACATACCTCACGAAATAACACTAAACAATCAGTAACCTGCCATCCTTCGACTCTGTCAATCGAACCTCTTTAAAAGTCGAGGATCATAGTTTTGACTCTCCCGACCCGGTAGGGGTGATGCCCCACACCAGTGCCGGCGTCATCGCCAGCCTCAATCTTAGGGTATCCACAGACACTTCTAGTCTACACATGCTAACTCGCTCATAAATTGCCTTGTTTCGTCACTAGTAACGAGTTTTCTGTGATCTTTCAGAGTGCTAGCGTCTTAAAGGTCACCAGCTAGCTAACCTCTAAAGGACACCAGCAACTGCCATTGTAGCGCCTGCGCACTACAGTATCCCTCGGCTGTGATTCATAGAGGCTCCCGCCACTACACTGTATATTAGTTACAATGGTACTTCTGCTCTTCTTAATCTAAGGCATTCAAAGTTTTTTCCCTTGCAGAGCTCTAAAAAACAACTCTTCCGAGTTGTTTTTTAGAGCTCTGCTGTAAAAAATAATAAAAAGACAGTACATACGCGGGTTGTTCGTACTTGACAGAGGAATGGGTGGCTGAGAGAGAATTGTTTACATTTGATCACATCCTCCAAAAACGACGTCTCTCTGCTGTGATACATCGAAGCAGCATTTCACCCAGTGTCACTGAATGAAATAGAAGCATCCGAAAGAGGGAACAGATCACTGAGAGGATCTGCCGCCAACCGCTTGCTGCCAAAGAACGAAGCCGTCTGGTGCCATTGCACACAATTGTCCGTTTCCACAGGTCCATTCAGCACCTGAATAAAGAGGCCTGCCCGCTTCGGCAATGTTGTTGCGACGCGGAATAGTTGGCCGTTCCCTTCGAACTTCTCTTAGTCTTAGAGCACTCCCATTCGACTGTTTCACAGGGAATTGTTGTAGCCAAATGATTGTAGGAATAACGGCAAGGCACACGCAAATTGCCAGGTGAGGCTTTTTTTCCCCCACAAATCCGTTAAATGCCTACACTGCAAATATAAACTAAAGCCTTAATCCATGGATCCCACACACTTGGAAGCAGATCCCTGTTCTCAGCTAAAGGTGCTACTCTGAAGACCTCACAGCGGCTGAACAGTTATTAGCCTCGTGGATCATGTACACAGAACACACGCTCCAGAACATCACCTTGACACTGCTCCAGCTGGAGCGCAAATCAATACCTTTGAAGTGTCTCGTATTAGCACTTTTCAATTTTTATTTTTCATTTTTCATGCAAAGCTGCTCGAAAGGGCTGAAGGCCGCTCTGCCGATTTGTCTTGTGGGACGACAGCGGCTCCAAGGGCTCTCAACAGTCCTCCGGCTAGATTCCAAGACGCTCTTCGCGTAAGTCGCGGCCGCCTATCATTCAAGGTCGCCTTTTACTTGGTTCAATTGAGACCCCACGAAAACCCAAATAAATTGTTGCCGGAGCTTTCAGGGCTACGTGCAGGAAGCAACGGGAAACCCTAACAACCGCAACGGCGTCAACAGCAGCCGCAACAACTTCAGCAGCATTGGAAACAGCTTCAACCGTGCTCACACCAGGAGAAGTTTCATATTTTCTCGCTTAGATTGTTACCTTTGATGCATGGACACTCGGGAGCGTTTTCCGATCCACGGGAGACCCTCCAAGTCCTCGCTCTGTCATGGTCCTAAGCCTCTAGCGTCTTCTGATCGGGATCCCTAGCATGAGGGCCAGAAGATCCCAGGGCCTGCAAACTTTGATATACCCTCATTCAAACTGGGGGTTGTACTCCTCATTGAACTGGGCATCTATAGGTGATGCTGCAGAGGGTTCCAGGGACCGTGGGGGCAACTCCATTCAATGCACCGTTGCAGCCTCCTGCTGGCGTTATTTGGGGTCTTTGGAAATGCAGACTGTGGCGCAAGAATCATGCACGCTCTTATTTCTGTAAATCATACCGGTTGAGTGGCTCGCTCACAGCTCCACTGGGCTATGCAGCACATCATTGTGGCAATGGGCCACCAGAGGACCCTCCGATGGGACGCTTTTTGCTGCTAGGGGCGCCCCAAATTTCGAGGCATCCGCCCATTCCACTTCCCTTTTCCACTGGAGTGAAAGACACAACGTACCCACCATTATTTCCCTCCAGGGACCGTAGACTCTTATGCTTCTCTAGCCGCTTGTACGTTAGACCAACTGATGCCCATAAAGGTTCTTTTGAAAAGGTCTCCGCACTCAGGGAGTCCGTGCCGTTTTCATCGGTCCGTTCAAATGGAGAACGTCCCCAAGTGTCCTCTGGAGAAGTCCCTTCAAGAAGTGCAGGAGAGGGGACCAAATCCACAGGGAAGCTCCATACTGGTGACTTGGGTGCCGTGGCTGCTGAACGCTCTCGTGTATCTTTGTTTGAGTTTTTGGCGTTTCTAAAGGACGAGAAGTTTCGGGTAGCTGGGATCATGTTTGCACTGCTCCTGAGTAGTGGTGCTCAGCTGCTCCTGCCGCTAGCCGTAGGCAAGCTTGTTGATGCCGTCACACAAACCACCGGGGACCAGCATCAAAAGCAGCAGCAACAACAGCAACAGGAAGTAGCGCAGCTGCAACAACGGGAGGGCGAACAGCAGGACCAGCGTCGAGAAGATTCATTCCACCGCCAGAGTAGTGTGACGGAAGGCTCCAATAAAATGACAGCAGCAACGGACACGCCCTCCTCACCGGCGACAACAGCAGCAGGCAAACCGCCTCCTGTGGTCGGAACAGGGAAGCCAGAAATAGCAACAGCAACGGAGCCCAGCTGGAGGGGACTTACGGGTGTTTTTGAGGAGAATCTGAAGACGCCTGGCGCCCGTTTGGGTATCTGCGTTGCTTTGGGAGCCGTCGGGGCTGTGACATCTTTCACCCGACTTTATCTCCTTGAGTCAACTGTAGGAAGACGGCCCCTCCTTGCTGCTAGCAGTTTTGGTCCTGAGGGAACCATAACCTATTGACTAGGGTGCAACATATGGAGTTCATCACTTCATGCGTTTCCCCTCAGATTGAACGGGTCGCTTGCCGTCTTCGCTCCACTTTGTTTTGGCGGCTACTCCATCAAACAACACAGCATTCACAACAACAGCAGCTAGGGTCCCTAGTGAAGCATCTTTCCCGTAAGTACCTTCCACCAGCATGGCGAGGACGCTAGGATCTTTTCGTGAGTAGTTTCGAGCACTTGATACATACCTCGATATTACCAGTTGTTGCAATGGGATGTTGGGGGGCTGTGTTCCTACACAACTCAGCTGAAAAGGTTTGCTCTTGGGTCTGGAAGTCTGTGTTTTGGGGATAAAGCTTCGGCTTTGGGGATTCCGTTATGTGGGGTTTCCTTGCAGAAGATGTTGTGACAGCGAGCAGAATTTTAGTGGACGTGTCCTTTGGGCTTCGTTGCCTGCTGACATCTGTCGTTGGTGCGTTTAGCTGCAAAAATTCTCTCATTTCTTGATGCCCTATGCATCCTTGTCCCTCCTCTTGTCTCATACATTTTGGTGCATCCTCTCTTTGGGCGAACAACGTCTTGAAAGCCTATCACGGCGTGTGGCTTGCTGTTTTGTGCTCTATGTGCCATCTCTCAGGATATGCCTGCCCTTCTATGTTCTTCGTTAAGTGTGTCTCTCTTGCATTGCTGCTGGCTCTTTCCCCGTACTGCCTGTGTTGCTCTGGCTTCGCCTATATTCATTGGTTGGCTTGCTCTGTGGCTGTATCCTTGTTCACCTGTTCGTACATTCACTCCCTTCCCACATACGGAGTTATCGTCCAATCGAAGCCAATGACTTTTTCTCTTTTTCTCATTCCCGCGATTTCTGCCTTCGTGTCTTCCCCATCTTCCGTTTTTTTGTGTCTGCATGCAGATCTCTGTCGCTTTCTGACTGTTCCTACTGTTGTCTGGAGCGTTATCGCCCCAGCTTCACCTCATCTATGCTGCTTTGCTTTCTTCATCTCTCGCGTTAAATTTGCTGCTTCATATGTGGTGCTGTTGCATATAAATTATCGTCTGCACTGCGCATGGTTCTCAGGGATCTGCCTTTGTTGGGCTGCAACCCCTTTGTTTTTCCTAATGTCTCTGCTGCTGCCGATTGCTGCCGCGACGGCCGCGCTGCGGCTTTCAGCAAAATCCGTCGCGAAGCTACAGCAGCAGCACAGCAGAGCTCTACAGGTGGCGTTTCAGCGCGCAACAGTGGCCCTCAACTCGAGGAGGCAACTAAGAAGTCTCAATGGAGAGGCTGTGGAAGCTAAGGCTTTCGACATGGCGGTGCGACGGCCAGCTTGGTGCTTCTGCCTGTGCTGTTTCTCGTGTTCACTTTTGCTTTTCGTGGCTGCTTATATTCTTTTCATGCTGGCTTGCCTTCGCCATCGGCCTTTTCATCCCGTTTAAATCCAGTTCTCTTGCTGAGGGCCTGCCCACCAAGTCGCGCATTGTATTGCTGCATTAGCTGTTCCTGTGTTTGCGCTTGCTGCTGTCGTTACGTTTGTTGCTATGAAGTACTGCCGTTGCAACTATGCTTTGCCTATTGCTGCTCCCGTGCGTGATTTAGCTGGAGGGCGTCTTGGCTGCAGCTAAGAAGAGCGCCGTTGCAATTGGCTGTCGCCACGCGTTTGTATTTGCTGCTGGTTCGAGTCTGCTGGTGCATCTTGTGCACTCTGCCGCATCACTCGTTGCCCAAGGTTTGTTCCCTACACCTACTTCCCACTATCACTGGCTATTCCCATGTCCAGTCCCGCTGCAAGCCTTTGCCTATCCTATATCTCCTATCAAACAACCTGGTCTTGTTTATTGCACGCGCTACCGCACCGGATACATTGCAGTCGTGACGTTTACGATGGCACTTTCTGCGAATGCTGTAGGTGTCCTGACGGGAGGCCAAGTTATGTCGCTTGCGCTATATTCGGCCTTTGTGGGCTCGTCTATCCAGGGTTGCGTTACAGCCTGGAGCGACATTTCCCGTTCTGTTGCTGCGGCGGGAGATATGCTCCAGCTGCTCCTGCGGTCGCCTTCCCCTCTCCTTACTTCCCCATTAGATTATCAAGCAGAGCTGACACGATTTAAGGAAGCCCTTAAGCACCAAGAGGAACAAGAGGCAACGGTAACGATGCCAGCAGCTGTCGGATCTGCTCGGAGAAAGGTTCCAGCAGTGGAGTTTAGAGATGTGTGGCTGTCGTATCCTGACAGAGGAGGCCGTTGGGCACTCAAGGGTCTAAGCTTTCAAGTGCCCCCTGGCTCTCTCGTAGCTGTCACAGGTAAGCTAGGCCCCTTTCATGCCAGCTGCACCGTGGTGCCCCTCAGGGATCACTATGTATCATCCCGATGCACGCGCGGACGGCTTGATGGAAACTTGCCGCTTTCGTCGAATTTTATTTGTCCTCTCTGGTGTGGATCTACTGCATTGGCACTTGCTGCTCTTGATGCCATGCGTAGGTCCGAGTGGAAGTGGCAAGAGTTCGTTAGGTGCCCTTTTGCTGCGACTGTTCGAGCCCCAAAGAGGAAACATTTATTTGGAAGGGCTTCCCATACGCGCATTTGACGAGCGCTTTATACGATCTCTTGTAAGGCTGGAGGTTCCAAGCTAGGGGTGTAGGCTGTAACTTAATGTTTGGGACTTTAGCATGCGCTGCAGGGTTCGGGGTTGACGGCTTGCAGGCCCAGTGTTCGTGCAAGTGTCAGCGATAGATATTTGTGTGGAGAGTGTGTGACTGGGCGTATGCAAAAGGTAATCCCCGTGCTCCAGGATTCGGTGCTGTTCTCCGGCAAGTCTCTAGAAGCCCAGATTCTTTATGGGCAGTTGGCGCAGCAAGAATTATCCGGAGGTGCACTGACGCATTATGTCTCGCCACACGAACACTCTCTGTAGACATTCGTGTATAGCTATACTGCTGCTTCTTGTGTCTGTGTGTACACTGCGTGTTTACGCATGATGGCCTCGTTGTGTTCTTCCCCGCACACATGAAATTGTGCACGCCAATAGGCTTGCATGCACATTTGAGTGGCCGTTTGCATTTAGGTTGTGTGAGCGTGCCATACACAAGCCCGAAGAACTATACTAGTCTGAACACTGGCGTGCATGATTCTGCTCCATCGCGTGTCTGCATACATATAATTGTGTGTATCTCGTGGTTCCACTTACGCTTATGTGCATGCAGACACTAAAGCGTGCATGAATGAATGCCAGCCTGCATAGTTTCACATGAGTAGTACACGCGGCTTCATTCATACGCGTCTATCTGAGGGCTGTTATGGCTGTATTTTTGCAAACAGCACGTTTTCATAAAGGCGCTGGGAGCAGGGTTTGACTATTTGTGTAGACTATTTGTGTACCTGCGCTCAAACGTCCACGTGCACGCAGATGCACAGCTGTATATATGCCATGAGCACACATCTGCGAGCATATGACTGTTTACACACATGGACACGCATGAGTGCCTGCCTACACAGGTATACGAGGATATGCGTCCAAGCATGTGCTGGTGCCCTCTCGCTCACTTACTTCGACGTTTGTGGATGTCCGTTGCATGGCGTGTACTTTTAGAATGAATCAGACATGCGTATGCGTATCCGCGTGACTGCGTGCGTGCAGAATATATGTACGTGTGAGTGTACGACTTTTGTTTCAGTAACATGAGGCTGGCAAGACTATGTGCTATTGCATGCCTGCGTATCTACGTACTCAAGAATAAGCAAGGACAGGTTTTTACGCGTGGTTTTGCTTGTTCTGGCACGTACACAAATGCAAATGAGCATTGTATTTTCGAATACACATACGCATGCTCTAAGATGGGTGTTCCTGCATGAGAATACAGTCGCAAACACGTCGATGCAGACATAGACGCTGATGCGTGCAAGTGCGTGCAAAAGCTTCCCTTGTGGTTCCATGTTCTGGAACTACTGTATGAATCCATGCTCATGTGGTTAGTTCACAACTAGTGGTGACTTCTGCACATACGCGAAAAATTGTAGGTATGCACCTGAATGTGCGCGCAGAGAAGCGTGCAGATACGCCTGCCTAGATCCTATACAGCCCCCGTTGATGAATATCCATTGGGAACCCCTTACATTTATGCGCATCGTGCTGCTTTTCTGCCTGTCTCTTATTGCTCATCAGCAGAGGGCCCGAAGCTGACTGTCTCTTCCGCTTGTGATGCTGCATGCGTATCCCCTTTCGCTGCGGCTCTTCCAAAGGGCCTCCAGACGCCGTTAGGCGAGCGCGGTGCCGTTCTCTCTGGTGAGTGTGCGTTCGCCCACTTGATATCTGCGTCTTCGCCTTAGTTGCGAAGCACATTCATGGTCTGAAAGACAGGCAAAGTCGTCAGGGGGTAAACTAGGTCATTTGAGGTGGGGAAACGATGCTCCTTCGACTAGTTTTCAGAATTCCGTATCAAGCAAGTGGGTTAGGCATTCAGGTGGCCAAAGGCAGCGCGTATGCCTCGCCATGGCCCTGTACCGGCTGGAGTGCGCCCAGAGGGCGTTGGAAGGAACTAAGGGCTCTCGCGTGCCTTGTTTGTTATTCCTGGATGAAGCCACGTCTTCTTTGGATGCAGACACAGAGCGTCAGGTCCTGTTAAATCTAAAGAAGGTTTGTCTGCCATTTGCGTGTGTAAATGGGTGGCTCATAGGGCGTCAATTGGCTTTTCTTAGGGGCATGCGTCTCTCTTCTTTCTTGTGGTGCGGTGCAGAGGCTGCACGGGGAAACTTGCCTCTTCATAGTCCACCGACCCGGGGTATTAGAGATATCGGACCACATTATGGTATGTGCTGCTTCTGCTACGGCTTTTGCCGCTCCCTATCAGCTGTTCGTAGATAGCCGTGAGAGACCAAAGGCAAGGGCATTCAATCATGTGCGCTATGCCCAGTGATCGGATACATCCATCCCAAGAAGAGGCGAGAGGCGAGACAGAAATTAAAAAAAGAAGACGCAGAAACAAGCAAGAAGCAGATTAACTGCATTTATCAACCATTTGTCTGCAACTGCACTTGCAGGTATTAGACGATGGCCGTGTAATACAGTTTGGCCCCAAAGAAGAGGTTCTTAGAAGCCCATGCCTTCCACTGCAGTGGTAAGCTTCATACCCCTAACTCTACCCAGGAATGGTGCTTAGTTAGTTGTAATGAGGTGATGCCCCTTTATTTATACCGGGGATTAGATTTCTGGGAGCACTGCCAACTGTTTAAGACTTTCTTCAGCTTTCATTTGACCGCAGGCTCGTATCCGGAGCAATTCCTAGTAGGTCTGCACTCATACCTGACGCCCCCGTAACAGCTACAGGAGAGTAAGTGCTCCCAGAAGGGTGTATTCTGGGCTCTAACCGTTGGGGAAGAAGTGAAACCAGCTTGCAGCTTTTGGTTGTCAGCGCCATCCATTAGCCTTCTACGTAAACACCTAACCTCGCATGTGCATTTTTTCAACGAGTTGAATGATAGCATATCGCACCCAGAAAGGTGCTGAATCAAATAGAACAAAGGAAACCTTTCAAACTTACGGGACATCGGCCTCCCTCTTAAAAATTGAACCTGCACAAGTCTCAGGCGACGCAGCGTACCGCACGCAAACTCAGGGCCCAGCCAGTCCCATAGGCGGCACAACGCATGAGGCTCAGACTAAGGTCCCCACAATGGGGCCCTCAAGTTAAAATAGTAATAAAGAACATGGAGGCCCTAGGAGCAACAGTAGTGGGTCCCCGTCACTCTTCTCAGTAGTCCGTTAGTGAACGAGTTGCAGGGGCTGCATGCTTCGACTGTGAAAGGCAGCATTGGTCAAGCTCAAAGATATTCGCCGTCTTCAAGATGGTACTAATGGATCTTATATAATGTGGGCGACCCCAGGCAGAAGTACTCCTGGTTGGGCTAGGGAAAAGATACGCCCTCTAGGGGCGTTCCGGGCGTTCCTCTTCCGGGGCGGCGGTGAACGTTTCCGCGTATTTGTTCGCTTCCTCTTTCTTCTTGTTTGCCGTTGCTGCGCTCCACCCCAGTTCCTTCGCCATCATGCTGCAGACCTGTGGCACCGGAAGAATAGCGACGCCACAATAACAGAAACAGAGAGTGTATCAAACCAAGCGTTCTCCTACACACTGTATCACATCATCCACAACATAAAGAACTGGACTGCGCGTCAAGCGTCTAGCTAGTGCTGCTGCTTACGGTGTCTATGGCTTCGACGCCCAACTTGTGGTCTAAGAACAGAATGGGGAGGCGCCTGGCCAAGATATCGGAAACTGAACGGGCTTGTTCGTATCTGCGAGGAAAACGAAGAAGAATTCAGGTGTGGGCGTGCAGTCCTGAAAGCCTTTGTCTAGCGATGGTGGTGATGCTTGGCTGCCAGCATCCACGAGATGGAGTTGCACGTGGCGTGCGTTTTAACGGTCTTACCGGCAAGCGTAAAGAACTTCAGCCTTCAAGTAGGGCAGGCCTTCAACCAGAGGCTCCATTAGAGATTCCTTTTTGGCGAGCTCAACAACATCTCTGGCCATAAATCCATAGTGTCTGACGAGGTGCTCTCTTTGTTCGAAAGTTAAAAAAGGGAAAGACGTGCTTAATTCGTGCTCCAGCTTTCCACTGCAGAAGCGACAGTCCTGTAGTGTACATGCACGAACCTCGGAAAAGCATCCCATTAAGCTAAGAATAGTAAGGACAGTGCTCCCACGGAGGAAAGACAACAAACGCAATGAACAAACGAAGTTGCAATAATCCACAGCCAGTGCCCGCCAGTGCACACAAGTCAGAACGGGCATCACACAAGGGGCTACGACCCCCACCTGACATTCAAAGGTAGAACAGTACTCGAAATATTCATATTACTCACTTCTGGCTGGAGTGTGCCCAGGGGATCGACTGCCCCTTGAACTTTCATTCCTTTTGTGCGACACGGCATTGAAGCTGCCACCTTGTCTTTGTGTACTTCCAGAAGGGTGTCTACCGCGTCCTGTGTAGGCATTCCCCAACACCGACAGTAAGCAAAACGCAAACCGTAGATTAGTCAGTGGCACGTCTGAAAGTTGCGTTCTTGGTTTTCAGGTCTCAGCCTTCTAATGTGTCACTTTGGCTGCTCAGCCTTTTTGATCTTCTTATACGTTTTGACTGTGCACGCCGTCCTCTTTTGGAGGTATCTGTCTCTCCCATGCTTGTCCTGCTTAACGTATCTGCTCCATTCTAACTGGCTTTTGTAGCTGTGCTCTTGTTGTTCCTGAGTCTCTTTCCCTGTGTTAAAATCTAGGTCGTGAAACTTAGACTTCGTCTTGCAAGGACCTTAATAAACAGGTGCTTATTAATTTGTTATTTCTGGATGTGTCTTGCGTAGCTCCCTACAGTCTCCTCACCTGCGCCATGCGCCTATACGTGGTCCACTTGCCACCCATCAAGCTTATGAGGCCCGACTCGCGATCAACAAGAACCGTGTGAGAGCGAACAACTCCGGCCGTGTCTTTTGCTTCAGATGTCTGGGAGATAAGTGGCCGGTGGCCTGCCCACACAGATTGAATGTCGCCCCTGAGAGGAAAGAGCCAGATATGAAAATGAGCAGCTTGACATACAAACAGCTTAACAAAACGAATGAGTTGAAGCAGTACCAAACTCAAAAACTAGCATAGACAGGCAGAGACAACACATATACATAGGCCAACTCGACCAAAACAGCAACGATGCGAAGCAGGGCATAGATAATTAGCAAAGCAGCAGAAGTCCCGAAGCTTTTGTCCCTGATTCTAAGCTCGAGTGCACTTCGTGTACCTCATTTGTTGGGGGTCCATCCTCAGGTAGGCGGAAAGTTCGTTGACCAGGAAGTCCACTTCACTCACTCCAGGTCTGGGTTCAGTTGTTTCATTGGCAGGCGCATCGGTGGTACCCGCGACAGTGCGCCCCTCCCAAGGAAGAAGAAACAACACGCGACCGTCGCTGGTCTGTGGTAACAGCAGTCCAAAGGGTGTCTTGTGAGTGTACCAGTGGGGTAGCACGATGTGCGTCCCTGCGCGTAAGTCGTGACAGCGTAACGGATGCACACAATCGTGAGCGCAAACGAGGAATTAGCCCCAGCGGCACAACATGAAAAAAAGCGCTTGATAAGTCAGGGACTGTCTGTAGATGGAAATAAACAGGATCTATGGTTTTACGAAAACGCCTAAGCTTTAGGGCGCACCTGCTGCAGGAATGACGAGAGAGGCTGCATCTTCATGGTCCATCTTGCGCACACTATCCGTCAGTGGCCCTGCAACAGAACTCATGTACAGCAGACCAGCGCCCAGGTTTATCTCGGTATTTCCTAAGTGCACTACACTAGCTATGTGAATTCATGGGAAACAGTGGGGCGAAGCAGCAGTTAAAGGTTGGGACTATGGTAAACGAAATATCACCTGTGCAGTTCACGACGACCTTGCAGTGGATCGTGAACTCTTCGTCGGTTTCACGGTCTTGCACTTTCACCCCGATCTACAAATACACCGCAACAATCATATAGGCTTACAGTTTTGGGGCTCTTAGGGTGTAGAATTCTCACCCAGCATGCGAAGGTCAACCTTTGTTATATAGTGTAGCTGCATTCTGAGAGTCCGCAACCAACAAGCTTTTCCTTAGAAGCTCAACACGCATGTGACATCTTACAATCTGTCCATTTTCGTTTTTGATAAATTCTTTTGCTGCCACATGGTTGGCTGCTGCTGCTGGCTGCATACCCTCCACAAATCCGGGGACAGTGGGGGAGAGGGCGAGAGAGAGACACATGCGACTATCGTTCATCTGGCCATCGAAGTATAGGAGAGAGCCCTTCAGTCCCTCACGCGGCAGCAGTGGTAAAGTGAATCGTGAGGTGCGAGCAGACAGGTATGACGTGGGCGGGATTTCTGTTAGTTTGAAACGCACAGATGCAGGCAGGTGTGCATACGAACGCAAGTACACAGAGACGAAGTACACCAACACATGACAGAGAGTAACACTGTATGCGCAGATTCTTCCAGATGCACATGCAGACACATAGGTGGACACAAGGAATAAGACAAAGATACACAAGCACCGTACTACAGACAACGATACACAAGCACCGTACTACAGCTAGAATTCCGAGGCAATTAATATTTAAAGCTAATCTTTAAACGACTTACGCGTGTCGCCGCAGCAGACAAGGTTTGCCAAGAATCCGTATGCTTTAACGCCAAACCAATAGTAGGGAATTTGCCACATCTTGTAAATAGGCATCAAAATTGCTAGCGGTTCGGCGATGTGGGGAGCTGCGCGTAGTAGATGAGCCCGCTCCTCTAGAGCCTCGCACACCAAAGATAATCTAAGAAGGCATCAACGCAGAGGCATGAATTGCAGTGCACATGAAGCCAAAAAGGTCAACATAGAAAAGCGAATGCAGAAGCAAAAGTGTCTATCTTCGATCCACGTTTCACAAGGCGTGTCTCACTGTCCCCAGTCAAATGTCTCGCAAGCCTTCTGCAAGTAGCGAATGCCTCCATGGACAAGCTTAGTGCTTTTGCTTGAAGTTCCCGAAGCAAAATCATTAGATTCCACCAAACAGCTTTTCAGCCCGCGACTGCTCGCGTCAAACAGTACACCCACACCTGTGCAAAAAACCCCAAAAGCACATACACATTAAGCCCTCTTCAGCCTGCATGTGCAAATATGTTTTCGTCTTTCCCTGACCAAAATATGGAGAGTTAAATGCTTAAATGCTTGACTTATCAGTTTATATATGAATGACAACTCGGGGATCAATGCACCGAGGGTAGGTGGGGGTATGTTTACTCAGGTGACTAAGAGAAGTCAGCTCGTTGCAGGCAGTATCACACTGCTGTACAGGTGTCTACAGACAGAGCTGAATGCAGCTATGACCATGTGTGTGTGCAGAGGTACGCAGGCGTATGTGTACAGTTTTATATTAGAATGCTATTTAGTGCGTTTGTGCATTTGTGTGCCGTGCATCATTCGCTTCACGACTCTCATCAGATGCATAGCATGAGCATCTGTACAACGGATGCAGCCGAAAGGGGGCTTTAGGAGCAGGAAGGAACACGACACTTCCCCAGAAGCACCCCAGCACGCTGTCCCCGTACAGCAGCAGCACAGGCATCCACGTTAGCGGAAGCAGCAGCGACAGAAGCAGCAGCGACAACAGAGGAGGCAACAAATCACCTGATGCGCCTCCCCCAATAACCAAAACATCGAACTTTTCTTTTTTCATCTTGGCGATCATCTCTTCCCTAGAGGGTGGGAGGTATGTTGGGGGGAAGCAGTCTCTTCGGTGGGTCTTTTGCGGGGTCTCCTGAGCAGCCGCTTCCAAGGCTTCTGTTTGGCCTACGTAATACCTAGTACCCACAGGAACGCCGCCTCTCTTGTGCTGCCTGCAGAAGAAGGTGTTGGCGATTGCAGCAGATGCCCCCACAGCCAAGGAGGAGTAGGCGAGACGCCTACCTAGGACGTGCATTGTCGATTAGTAGGGGTTTAGAAGACCTGATAGTCAAGGTTTTTTGGGTTGGTGCTCGGTGTTCCAGTCCCACGTCCTATACGGTCTACATCCAAGGGCCCCGGAGAGCCGGGGTAAAGAGGGACGAAGACGCCACAACAGAAGTCCAAAGGTCCACAGTTTACGGTTTATGCCTGAGGCTCAAGGATTTGCACTTTAGGTTATTGTCGATGAGGGCTACGGGTTCAGCGAATAGGGTTTGGTGCTGCAGCTCGACGGTCGCCACACACGAGAAGGTTACTCTGCTGCCCGCTCTGCTAATGTCAGTGTATTTCATAATCAGCGAAGATCTTAAGAACCTGTTTGTCTTTTCTGCATCTCGAGGTTTTTAGTTTGATTGCCGAGCGCGTTGACTACGGAGACCCTAGGGGGTCCGGGTGGTCGGCTGCAGCTTGTAGCGAGTAGCCGTGGCAACGATGACCAGACGTATACGTACGCTTCATCTCCTCCTCCTTGCGGCACGAGCGTTTAATCGTTATTCTGTATTAATAAATCGGCACTAACGTATCCGCATTCAAGTGCACACACTCAGAAGCACGGCGCGAATGGTCCCTTCACGCTGCATGTGCACGTGAAAGGCTTCCTTCGGTTCTGCTTCAGCAAAGTAGTTGTTTGCGCAGGGCCAGGAGTAGAAGTAGAAGAAGAAAAGAGACGAAAAGCAGTCACTGTTTTTTGGATATCAGAACAGCAACGATTTATACATTTTTGTGTGTGTACGACCGCTGGCGTGTTTCCGCGCCGGAAGATGTTGGGTTCCGGATGTTGGCGAGCGTCAGTACACGCGCCTACAGAAACCCGTGTACCGGCAACCTTAGATTTTCCTGTTCTTCCGCAGTATGTATACTAATGTTGTTAAGCCACAATTGTGACGGTATCGACGGCATCCATTGCTCAGCTCTGGATGCCGTCAAAAAGCTAAGCTCTTCAACTGCATCTCCAAAGAAAACCTTCACGTAGTGAGGGCTAGCTACACATGAACAAGCTAACTGCATCTAACTGCAGGCATCAGCCGCCCACAGCGAGGGGACACCCTCGCACGTACCTGACTATTAACGCGTAGAAATAGATGGTTGCGGGGATCCTAGTCTACGGTTTAGGCTGCATAAGACCTACGCTCTTCCGAAAAAGTGATAGCCACATAGCCCTAACCTCAGATCAAAGTCAGGTTAATCGAGTTTGCAAGGGCAAGACAGCTAGTCTTTTGGGCATCCTCCAGTCATTAGAGTTGTTAAGAACATTGAGCTAGACTCGGCAGCAGTAGCAGCTTATGGCGCTGTTCTTGCTAATGCTGATGTAGCAGCATATACAATGCATCTGTATGTGCATCTGTCTTCCGCCACATCAGTCCTTGTACCTTTCGACGAATTTCATGTAAAATGTTTTGAACTTCTGTATCATTTCCGTAAGTAAGGCCTCATCCGGCAGAATACAAATGCGAACGTGAAAAGTCCCCTCACGCTGGCCGAAACCGCTTCCCGCCACTCCCACAATCCCCGTTGCTTTTAACAACTCCATGCAGAAGAATAAATCGGGCGCCAACATCGCTGCAGCGGCAGCATCCTGTGCCCCTGATGCACAGAAGAAAGATGCGCAATAACTGGCTGCATGCCCTTCGTGCCGTAAGATGGCGAACATACGGCATTCGTATGTACACATGCTTGTGAGGCACATGGCCATACACATTTTGGCGATTATGGAAGCACAAACTGCGCAGGAACCTCATTATCAGTTCATGCGCATGCGATTCGGCATTGCATGCACGTGCCTGTGTAAGTGTAATCACGAGTACAAACGATCAGCTACTTGATATTGGGCGTATTTCTGCGCATGTATGTATGCACGTAGATGCATGCAGTTACTGCACCTGTACATCTGTGCACTTACAGTACGTATGTCCCTATTCTTCCAAACATGCAGATGTTCCCCCTTAAATTTTTACGCATATAGAATAGCAAAGATACACTTACGAACATATGTATGTTCGTGTGCATACACGTGCATTACTAAGATGGAATGCACTTACATATATCGACGCAAATAGACCGACGCATACACTAAAACCCTCTTAAACGCAAGTTTGTATAGGTGCGTACGTACAGTTGCCTCTTATGCATTGCAGCAAAATGTGGATGCTTACGTTTACACTTTAGCGTATACATTGGCATACATGCATGTAAATGGATCAATGTGTATCTTCCCATCTAAAAATGTGTACATAGAGCCACAGGCAGTAGCTGTGCGGCTCTTCACTGGGCAATGAGAGTTGCAGATGCGTCCACACAAAGTTTCTAAATATTGGTGCCTGAACCCTGAACTGTTAACCCTTTGCTGCAATGACTAGGCATTTGGTCCTCACTCTTGGGCAATTCGATTCTGGGAAATCCAAAGACACTGCCTTCGATTCGCTGGCATGATATGCCTGGGACAGCGTTGAGGTGCCTGTACACCGTGTCTGCTTTTCTTCTAGTGGTTCTATATATTGATTCTTTCTCTTTGATAAAAGAGGGATAAGATGGATCTCCTGGCCTGGGCGGATTGCACAGATTTGTCATCATTAGCTGGCCAAACAAGTTTGAACACAAAGACATTGATGACAGCTTATAGAGCTGCTGCTTCACGGCGTCCTCAACGTTTTCTATCAGCACGCAACCCCCGCGGAAGCCGCACTCTCCCACCAAGCCCTTGCTGCTGCTGTGCAGCGAAAACAAAGGCACGTCTACTTGCTGTTGCATCACAATCTGAAGAGACCCCAACGCAGCAAGTGCAAAAGGCACAGGCAGGTAAACAGACAAAAGGACCAATACGCATATGAGTAGGTAAGCGAATAGTAAAACTGACAAGCCCCCCATCAAAGTTAAGTGGTCATTTAGAGCATTAATTCTGCTGAATGGCTGATTCGCTGTGAGCGAAATGACTGCAATAGCAAGACAGTGAAGAACTGAAACAGCAGCAATTTCAAACGCCAACGCAGCAATTAAAGCTACTTAAGCATTAGTAATACCACAGAGCACTGAAAAAAACAGCAACAAACACCGCAATGCTGCATGCAGCTAGATGAATTAAAACAGTCAAGAAGTAACAGCAACAGCAGACCCCATAAAAGCCGGAACAGCAGAAGTGGCGAGTGCTGCACCTTCCTAAGCGATACAAAGGGACTATCCCCGTATACATTTTCTTGGTAGACTTCATCTGCTAGCAGCACGAGGCCCTCGCGGTGACAGAGTTGCACGACCTGCACGTACATCCCAGTGCCAGCAGGTACAGAGCCACGTTCTCGTTTTTTATGCATGTGCTCAGTACAGTTTGGTGTTCAGCGTTTCATACACTGAAATATATATGCTCACAAATACTTCTTTTATGTGCAGATTAGGTCCCCCGAAAAGGCAACTGTTACCTCAAGCCATCAGTCCCTGCCCCTAAAATCTAGCAACTAGGCCTGTTACCCCCAAGTCCTATGCCTTGAACCCGACACTCTTGAAACTCGAGCTTTGTCCAACAGTAAACAGGTCTTCTTTTCTGCCCTCATGAGTGCATGTTGGAATACCTATTGGCTGTGCGCTCCAGTGCTTAAGCAGCCTGCATGTGGCATTTGTGCTGCGATGATAATCGAGTTGTTGAATTGTGCCGGGTTATACGTACTTCTAAGAGTTGCTGCTCTTTAATGAGCTGCCCTGTTGGATTTCCGGGGTTGATAATTACAATGCCTCTGACGTTTATTCCCTTCTGTCGCGCCATTTTCAAGGCACTTTCTACTTCACCCACATCTAAGGCCCAGCCCCTTTCTTCCTACGAAAGCACAGCGGCGGAGAAACAAACGATGGTAAGAACACAAAAACACATCCGGGAAGAACTAAGCAGGTGATGGCGTATATATATCACGGATTGAGAGCAAGAAACGCGAATACGGACGATTCGGATAAACGACCTCTGAGCAGAGAGACAATCTAATGTAAATGAACACACAACGATGCAACAAAAGGGACAGACTACAACTGGAAACTGGCTAAGACAAACACATAAGGCATAATCAAACAAACACAGAGAGAGGTAAGAACAAATTTCCATTGGGAAAGCGTAAAAGTGAGACAACAATGCCTATCGTTGTGTTATTCTCCGTGTGCTGAGCGTGTCCGCGTTTGTTTTTCAGGCTCTGTAATTTCGTCAGGCAACTAATCAAAAATGCAAGCTAACATACAAACGGATATAAGCACAAACGTATTAATATACTGTGCCTTTGCGTTTGCCTGATCAGGGCAGCTGGTTTCCACCGTTTGTCGTCTGTCGACTGTAGAAGCCAGCCGAACGCAGAAACAAAGTGTACGCGCAGGCAAAAATACACGAGTAGCACTGAACAAGATAGGTACAGGAAAGCGCTAGGACACAGGTGCATTTAGAGAGCGACTCAACGAGGCAAAGGAAACAAGACAGAATCGAAACTTCGCGAAAGTGGCGTTAGAAGTCAAAACAAAGTAGACCAGCCCCAACGCAAGCTCATTAAGGCACAGATAACAAAATAGAAGCGTTACAAAGACGCGGCCTCCCCAGCACTGAACGCTGACTGTAAATTTGTTTCTTCGTAAGCTGTCTGTCCTGTTGTTCTCCTTGTTGATTAGATGATCTGAAAGCTGTAAACTTGTGGTGCCGGCTCCTAATGTGTGCATTCGTCGTAGGTGTTCGTTTGCGTGATTGTGCAGTCGGTTCTTGCCTGCGTTGTCGATGTGTGTGTGTGTGTGTGTTGTTCGTTCTGCAAAGACTTACGTCGAGATAGTAGCCGACAGTAGTGGCGCCGATTCTGGTAAGAAGTCCTGCGTAGAGTGGGTACTGAGGGATGGGAATCAAGAGGCCGTCTTCCGGACCCCTATATAGAACCTCTATAATGCGAGCGACTGCAGCAGAAGCTCCTATTGATAAACGCAGAAAACATAAACTATATTTACACTAGTACACGTTATATAGGTGGC